AAGTTTCCTCCCACTCCCCTGTAGAGGGGGAGATCAAGATACAGCTTATAGCAGTCACCAAAAAAGACCGGCTACAACTACCCCCACCGAGCATCCAGCCCTGCTCCTCCATCTTGATGCTGTTCCCTGTTCATCCTCTCTTCAGAAGTTTATAAGCAGTGATGAAAGACATGAGAGACTGACTCACTGACCTCCTTTGCTTGGCAGTGGAATGACTTCGGGCCCTTACAAGATGAGTGGACAAATGGACAGTGATGACAGTGGCAAAGTAGCAGGTACACAGCAGGTTTCTCACCCAAGAGCCTCTCAAAATCTGGATCTGACGTTGTACTCTTCTCCTGGAATAAATGGCATTGGCTATCTGTACAATTGCCAATTTGAATGTGTGGTCAGTTAGGCTGCTTTGGCTTTCCACACGCTCTCCTTTGGGATTCTGTTTGTTCTTTGATGCCGTTTCTGATGGAAACTATCTAGCTTCCAAGGTAAGCATTTTATTTTCTTGCAGACATTTCAGCTGTTAGGAAACATGTATTTTAATTTTGTCTCCAGAGTCATCTCATGTGCAAGAGGGAAAATGGGAGAGGAGGAGAAAGGCAGAATGAAATGTTGTCTTTCATTGTTGGTAAGCTGCCTTGAGTCCTTCTCATGGAGGAAGATGGGGTAAAAGTATTTTAAATAAATTGTTATAAATAAACATGGCTGGATCATTTAGAGGAATCCATCATTTCTTACTCCATCCTGATATCACAGAACCACAGTAGACTTCTCCAGGTTGCACAATCATTGGCTTCAGAGGTATCACAGCATTTTTTCAATCATGTAAAAAGTTAGCATCAACATTCTGATAATAATCATAATACTGCAAAATTTCTTCGGGTGGTTGGACTAGTGGTTAGCAAACATCTGTTTACGCTTGTAATGAAGGGTTCAGATAGGTTTTCTGAAATAATTAAATGTAGCTAAATTCACAGTAAAGTATGCCCATCTTTCTCCCAGGCTGGCAAGGATTTATCTAGAAGATGTACAGGAAACATCCCTGCAGACTGGTACTGGTCTGTGCAAGTTTCCAATCTGACCTGCTAGTCAGTTTGGCCCTTGGCCCAAGCTTTTCTTGCATTTAGAGATACAACATGAACAATGTTAACAAAAACAAAGCAAAAACACAGAGCACCTAAATCCAAGTCAATCTAGTCCGTTTGGTGATTTTCTTGGTTTTTTTGTTGTTGGTTTATTATTATTATTATTATTATAGCATTTTAAAAGAACAGATTTATTTTGGCATAAGCTTTCCTTTTCTCAGGTGCATAAAAGCAAGATTAAACTTAATTTTAATGCAATTATTTTTACTGTAATGTTGCTTCTCAGTGTAGATTCGTCGAATCAATGAAATTTGTTGTTTCATTTGACAAGCATTGACTTGTCAAATTCCCAGTTAATCAGTGGATCTACTCTACCTGGAAATTACAATTGGCTTTAGCCCTAAGTGTTTTTGCAACAACATTTTACTGTTTAGTGCTGCTACTACTCCCTGATGAGCAAATGTGGGCCCAGAACTAAAAGGCAAAGCAAAGGGGCAGCAGTTCAAAGTGCCTACCTAGTAAAGCATGTTTAGGATAGTTAATGAGAAACCCAGGAGATGGAGAAAGGTCACTGGCTGTAGGTTGGATCTCCAGCTCCTCTAAATTAGATTTTGCAGTCGAGGGCAGACGAGGGGAAAAAAATCCGGGGTTCCACAAATCTAGTGAGGCACACAATGTCAAAATTAGTGGAGTGTGTTCCTAATTTTTCAGAAGGCAACAACAAAGAGGTATGTTCTGAATTGTTTTCTGTATGAAGAGATCCAATCTCTGCTATTTTCATGATTTTAATAAATTCTGCTAAGTTTAATATATTCAGTCTGGCCTATGTTGGCTATTTTTGTTCTTTGGGTGTCCTACCTGGTAACGCTGGTGTGTCAGGTTTAAAGTACACAGCCAGGAGTATTTTATCCCAAATAAGGGAGGAATTCGAATTCTAGGGTTAGAAGCTTGACCAGAGTTGTCCAGTCACACACCTTCTAGGTTTCACCCAGCCTAGATTTCAAAGGGTGGTGGAATTTGGGAACTAAAGTTGCACATTCGCCTAGTGGAACAGCACCTTCAAGGAGGGGCATTCTTTACATTCAGTGCAACAGACTAAATTGATAAGGAGAGAAGGAGGAAATGCTGTTTAATGTAATTGCTTAAACTGGAAAATGCAATATACAAGGTTAATAATGACTTGATGTAGCCCTTTTCCCAGTGTACACCTGCCGTTCTTTTTGCACCGGCTATGTAGCATTTTTTGGTGCCTCATACTTTGTCTGGTTCTTGGCCTGAAAAAAAGGAACAAAAGAGCTGCACGTGCAGCCCAAGACTCATTCCCATTGCAACCCGTTGAGTTGGAGACTGTAGAAATAATAATAGCAATAATAATAATAATTGTGTGCTATCAAGTCAGTTCCAACTTATGGTGGCCTTTTTCAGGGTTTTTCAGATGGAGAATAATTAGAAATAGTTCACCATTCCCTTCTTCTGGGTGGATTTTCAGATGGAGAATAATTAGAAATGGTTCACCATTCCCTTCTTCTGGGGACACCCTGGGAGTGTGCAGCTTGCCCAAGGCCACACAGGCTGGCTATTCTCTAGGAGGCACAGTGGGGAACTGAACTCCCAACCTCCAGCTCCACAGTCAGAGATATCTGGCTGAGCTATCTCGCCAGCTTTATTTCTAAATAAGCAGACTGCAGTAATTCATAATGTGAAACTGTGTTTGTTAGGCAATCTATGAACAAGAGAAATGTTAGTACACATTAAAAATGAAGGAAAGAAATACACCAAATACGTCAATGGCAAAATTGATAATTTAACAAATGGAAACAAGCATTTCTTGATAGATGTAAAATAAAATTTAGCAAGTTTTAAATCAACAGAGTTTACTTAATCAAATATCTGACGAAAAATCCAGCAATAATGTTGCATGCCAGGTTCATTGCCCCACTTGTATTGTCAATGTTTTCATATCATGTAAATGTTGACACTTCATAATAGCTCCAAATTTCAACAAAGTGTCCTTGAACTTTTAACTAATTTTAACAAAAATTAATACCCAAGGTTTTGGAGGCATCTTGTAGGCATCAATCACACAGATGTCTTGAACATATGCCTTCTTGCTAAATGATCTTCTTTTGGGTTCTTGATTTACCCAAAGCTGCTTTACTGGATCACAGGAGGCTAAGCTAACAATTTTCCTCTCTGACAACCTAACCTGGACAAAAATGGGAAAACGGGGAAGAGATAGATTCCCTGCTTCCTTGAACAGCCTTCCATGGGCCACATCATGTCAGGGGATGTGGAAAAGCCTCCTAATAACAGCACCAGGTGGCACTCCTCCACTTTACATTTTGGTCAAGAACCCATACCCCTCCTCTTCCCCGAGAGTGGATGGCTGGAATGGTCAAAGACAGGGGGGACACCTTGTTTATGAATAATCTGGAAACGGCTGAGAAATGAGGTGTCGACATTTATTCATTGATGGTTTTCATTCAGATCTGGAAACAGGGCTGAGCAATGAGGTGTTGACATTTATTCATTGATGGTTTTCATTCAGAGTGGTGATAAAGCAGACTATGGAGAGTTTCAGAATGGATTAAAGCAGTGGTTCTTAACCTTTGTTATAGGGACATGGTGGCGCTGTGGGCTAAACCGCAGAAGCCTGTGCTGCAGGGTCAGAAGATCAAGCAGTCGTAAGATCGAATCCACGCGATGGAGTGAGCGCCCGTCGCTTGTCCCAGCTCTCGCCAACCTAGCGGTTTGAAAGCATGCAAATG